GTGATTCTGTGATTCTGTAATGATAATCATTATTCTAAGCATTGACTAGTGCCATGAAGATAACTTTTCTGATGAAGGAAGGATTGAAGTATTTGGAAACAAGTTACCACCAATAAAACCTCCCTGAAACTAATTACTGTTTCCTTTTATCAAGGAACATTAAGAAGTACCTTTCTGATTAAGCTTTTACCTGCACCTGAAAGCTATATGGTACAAATAGATCATTGTTGTGTGTAGTTATTTTGGACAACTGTGATAGAAGGGAGGGAAAATAAGTTATTTTGAACTCATGGGATAAAGCTAAGAATAATCTAATTGCAAAACTAATCTGGTCAGGAAATTAATAGTAACATGTTTTGGTTTAAGTGCAACACCAATCTGGTCAGAAAACAATAGTAACCTCTTTGTGTTTGAAAGATGACATTTCCAGTACTACTGTCTATTTCAAGCATGATCTGCTTTTAGTTCAATCAATCAGTTTATTTTATTAGATCAGATGGTACTGTGATATAAAATAGTGTATAGAATTTTGAACAATGGAAATTATTTTTATTTATGACAAAGAAGCACATAATTAAAATTTCAATAGCCTCATTTCTGAAATGCATATAACTAGTTGGTTTATCTGCAATAAAAAGCACTTCAAGACTTAAGTAATATTTCTAATAACTCCTTTTGAAACATAGTAAGTGCTTATTTTAGCAATGACAAATATTTACAAACTCATTGAAGTTTCTGCAACTTTTATTATTTGGTAATATAAAAGAAAAACAATTAGAAATTAATTATTTGATGTGTTTGTATTTTTTTATTTCACTGAAGAACTACAATGACAAGAAGAAATGTTTATAATGCAGTGCTGTCCATTGATATAAAACTAATATTAATTAATTTATAGGTTCCAAAGATTTTCAGTGGGAATTTGTTCATGGCTTGTTTGAAAATGCAATTTATGGAGGCCGCGTAGATAATTACTTCGATATGAGGGTTCTTCGATCCTACTTGGAGCAGCTTTTCAATTCAAAAGTCATTGGCAGTTTAAATGCTAGAGGCAAGAAGATGACTAGTTTCCCATTTTCAATCTCGTTACCAAATTCCTGCAGTATTTTGGTAGGTATACATCTTCTATCATCTAATATAAAAACTGAAATGTTATTTTCAATAATTATTCTTGGAAAAAATTCCACAAAGAAAACCAGAGTTATAATCCAAAGGATACCTCCATTAATTAAGAGTTCTTTTGTGTGGAGCACTAATTCTTAAGTTGCCAGAACTATTCTACTCGTCTGTTCAGTCAGTCTCCTTTTTTGTGAAGAATCACGAGTAAAAGAAATTGGGTCAATTTATGACAAAGAAGGACATTGTTACATTTTTATATAACTTAGTATATTAACATAATACACTTTTGTACTTACTGCTAAACATAGGAAAATCTAAATCTATCTCCTTATTTACAAAATATATCAACATTCTGACATAATCTGCTAACATGCCGTGGAGGATGTATGACATTTTATTTGGAGATAAATACATATTCTGATTCTCCTTTAGTATTCCTTTAGTGTAAACAAGAGTGAATTCAATGGAGTCTAAAGAACTGGTCTGTTCTTATCCTTTCACATACTATTCTTGTTGTTACTATTATTAAGATTCATTTGCATTTTAATGTAGGACTCCGTACTAGACCTCTAATATGAGTTGATGTAAATGGAATTATACCAGTTAAAATAAATTGCTGTTATTATTTGGCATTCTCTACTGTTCTGACTGTTGAAGTTTGGGATTTGTTTATTTTTTTACTTTAAATAGGCTGATTGTATTCTGTAGAAGTGCTGAGTTAATATCATACAGAGGGAAGGAATAAACAAACCAGGCTGGTCTCTATTCTTGTAGATAATATGGTCAAACAGATGAACCTTTCTTCTTGCCTGTACTGCATTTAGTATTTCTCAATTTCTTATATGATCATTTATGTGATAGTTTATACTTTTATGTCTTAAATATTTTTCTGCAAGCAGTTTTGATTAGTAGAACACTAAAAAAGCAGCTAAGTTTCATTGCTTAAGTTAATTGGAATAATATCTCTTACTAAATAGTGTTCCCTCAGTGTTTGGTGTAGAGGTCTGCTACTGTTATTATCTCTGAAGTGAGATTCCACGTCAAAGTAAATTGTGCACATCTAGGACATGCTCCTGCAAGCAAAAGACAAAATGCACAAGATATAAGGCAATAGGGTGCAGTGCAGCCAGACTTTGAAATAGTAAATATTCTTGCTATTTAAGCCACAATAAAAGAGATATCAATACCATTAGTCTACCTTGGTCTGCAAGGTCTCTTTCTGTTTTGTACCAGAGCAGCATCACTAGTGACTATTACACTACAACCACTATTGATACTATTCTGCATCTACAGTGGTCATGCAAACTTAGTTTTACCTAAACAGTTTCACTTTCTTTGAGTGATAATATATTCATAGATTTAATTAGAAGTGAGTGCTCTTAGTTTTATAAACATATATTATACTCTTTTATTTGAATTCCAAATGCCAAAATCTTTTTTATTTTTTACAGTCAATAATCTTACTTTTAAGTTTTCAACAGAAGTATTTTAACTACTTTTCAGAGACAGTCTTAGCATATTTTTTTTTTCAGTTGATAGCATCACTGTAACCAGAATTGCTTTTTGCTCTTGTAGAGTGGAAACACTATATAGAAGAAGATAGTTTTTTATAAATAAAATTAAGAAATTTATAAATAAGATTACCAAGATGTCATGTTTTATATACTATTTTAATCTTTGTGTTATGCAGTGCACTTAATGAAATTCTTTTCAGCATACACTGTCAGTTTCATGAGCTGAACAAAAAGTTCCGTCAGTTATGTTTATTCTTTTCCTCTAATGCAGGACTACCGTAATATTATTGAAAGCCTTCCAGAAGATGATAAACCTGACTTTTTTGGCCTGCCTGCTAATATTGCTCGTTCATCACAACGTATGATCAGTTCCCAGGTAAAGTTACATTTTTCATTGACCTCTGAATCTTTTCTGCATCCAGCATAAGCTAGAGAACGCAACTACCTGTTCATAAATCTGAATTTCCATAAGAAAATTAGAGTAAATGGAGGTATTTTTGGAATATGTTGACTTTTATCTGTAGAATATTTTAATATGATAACAGTAACAAAGAATTATTGAGAAAGTTTACAATAATATAATTCAGTTCATGTTGAAGAGTATCCACATATGGAAATAGTTTCACTAGTTCTATATATACTGTTAATCTAACTCCTGTCAATGAGATCATTCTTATAGCTGCTGTTCACCTCAAGTTAAGGTTTTAATTTTAGTGACCAAATTCTAATACAGTAATTTGACAGGTAGAATATGGGTAACATTTTATGCTTTTTCTGAAAGGGAAATTCTAAAGAATTCTCCCAGTGGTCAGAATTCTCTCTTTGCTATTAGAAATATGACATTTTGAAAAAAAAAAAAAAAAAAGTTGTTCTCACTGGAGAATAGCATATAAATTCTTAGGCATATCAGAATGAAATTCTCAACATAATGAAAAGTAAGTTCCAGGGTTTTTGTAGGTCTTAGTTTAAAAATTCACTAATTTTAAATGTTTCCATTATTTCTTTAGCTATAACATACGGCAGATGGCTATATCATAGTCAAGAGTTCTCAGCTATCATTTAATTGCAGTTTAGTCCAGATTTGAATATACATTTAATATGTGAGAATGCAGTTATCTTATTGCTGGAATAATAGGCAACAATCAAAGATTTTTAACCTATTTGTCTTAGAGTTATATGTAGAAGCCTCAGCTTGGGTGAGTGACCTGGTTCACTCAATGGCACAGCTGGGGTATCTATTCTTCTCACTATTTGTGGAGCCAGAAAATACTGAGTGTCTCTCTTGTTCTCCTCATTACTTCTGTTTTGTCAGCCTACAAAGGGAAAAGATTGAGTGATTTGAACTCTGACTGTCTTCATCATGAATACATTGTTTGGTTTGTTGGACAAAGCTTTTCATGGCTAATATTTTATCAGCTCCCTTAGGCGTCAATTCAGTTGCCTAAAAATCGGTATCTTGTATTATCTGGAGATGCCCTAGTGTATTTAAGACATCTACTAGGAGGTGACAAATATGACAAAGGACCCAAGTGAATGTATTTTCTTGTTGGGCCAGCAACTGGAAGTCAGAGGCTAAATGGCACTAGAAGCCAGTGTTTAAGCAACTGATTGTGTACCTGATCCAGTACAGCATGAATCTGGAGATCCTGTGTCATATCTGCCTATCCATAGCATTTTCTTGGATAACATCCAGAGTCACTGGAGGCCTAGAGTCTAGAGGGGAGTTTGACTAAGAAGTGGCTGTACCTCAGCCTGAGTTGAAATTTGGTAATGCTCATAGACAGGTGAGAGTCCACCTTTTATTTATTCAGGTGTGCTGGGCATTCTAATACCTTTTAGCTCAAATATGGAGCAAGTTTAGAACTTTGAAGTAAAGCTTAATTTTTATTTTCATTGCTTTTTAGTTAAATCTGGATGAGACCACACAATTACTGTATAAGCACAGTTAAATGGTACAAATCTTTAACTAGTGATTAACATAGTTTATTTGACTGTTAAATTAATTGTGTCAGATAACATGAAAGTTGATTGATTTGGGAATCAGAGCTGTGAAGTGAACTAGTCTATGGATCAAGGCTCACTTTAATTTTCTGCACAGGCCTAGCATGCTGCCTTATACAAGGACAAGTTATAGGGGAAAGAAAAAAAAAAAGATTGAATCATAGAATACCAGGCTAAAAGGGACCTCAAGGATCAACATGTCCAACCTTTCTTAACACAATCAATTGGAAGGTCCCTATAATTGGAATTCTCTATAATTTCAAGACTTAGAATTGCATTTTTTAAAAAGCATCTGTTTGCTCACCATCACCTAAAAAGAACTCAGTGCAGAAATTTCTTATTGGTGTAAGACTTTTGATTTGTTAAAAAAAAAAAAAATCTTGAGTATTGTGTTTGTTGAATATTAAATACAGTACTGGCAAATTTGTATAAATATATCTGTTAACTTCAGTCTATAGCTGTATTGTCATATTATTTGTTTTATTATTAGCACATGAAACTGTAAAGTTATATAAAGGAAATCAGTAGGATGAGGGTGCATAGGGTAATATGCTGAGCTCAAGAACTCCTCTATTACAAAGCCAAAAAAAGCACCAAGACTCCATGTAGCTCTCTTTGGTTTTGTCTTAAAATCTTTTGCGTAAACATTGACTTTAAACCCTTTTTTTCTGTCAGATACACTGTAGACTGCTGATTATTTTATTTATTTCAGCTATGTTTATATAACTTAAGAGCTGCAGTTGTTAAAAATGCTAGCACTTAAAAATAAGTCCTTAACTAACCTCCACAAAATGAGAGTAAATTCAGAGTTCCCGTGTGAAGGGAAATAGGTAATGAATGCATTTACATGCAGACTTGCACTCTACTGATTTGGTGGCCTGTCATAGCATTGATTATAATGTGTAAACTGTGGATTATAGTATTGAAAATATGAGATTGTTGTAGTTACAATTCTGTGAGATGATGCTTCATCATATGAGAGATTTCCTTATCCTTCCAATAATATTTTATGGTACTTCTTTAAGTCTTAGGCAATTTAAGTAACAGAAATGGGAGCTTTTTCTTAAATTGTGTTTCTACCTAGGTATGAATCCTACTCCCATTCAATTTCTGACAGTTTGGCAGCTGTCTTGGATGCATAGGTGATCCCATGGTTCACAATCTGAATTTGAATGATTGCCTTCTAATACAAGTGTTTCTCATAAATCCATTACCAAGCTAAAGCAGAGAAAAACTGAATAAGTAAGGTAGTGAGAAGTAAGTTGCTACCAGCTTAGTCACCATGTCACTAGCACTAGAAAGGTGAAATTTAATACTGTATCCAGTACTTCACTGATTCTGTGCTATATGGTATATTCTCTTATAATTTATGTCTTCTATCCCATATAGTTTCTCATCTACTAGCCATTACCATTTCTTAGTCTGTATTTTTGCTAACAGCCTCCTTATATGGAGATGCACAGAATTGTATTGTCTAAACCACTGAACTCAGTATTAGGGGAAGTGTTTTTTTGTTGTTTTTTTTTGAAACATACATTGAATCATGGAATGGTTTGGGTTGGAAGAGACCTTTAAAGGTCATCTAGTCCAACCCCCCTGCAGTGAGCAGGGACGTCTTTACTAGATCAGGTTGCTCACAGACCCATCCAGCCTGACCTTGAATGTTTCCAGGGCCTTCCACCACCTCTCTGGACAAGCTGTTCCAGTGTTTTACCACCCTCATTGTAAAAAAAATTTCTTCCTTATATCTTCCTAAATCTACCCGCTTTTGGTTTAAAACCATTACCCATTGTCCTATCACTACAGGCCCTGCTAAAAAGTCTGTCCCCATCTTTCTTATAGGCTCCTTTTAAGCCACATTAAGGTCTTCCTGGAGCCTTCTCTTCTCTAGGCTGAACAACTCCAACTCTCTTAGCCTGTGTTCCTGCCCCCTGATCATTTTTTGGCCCTCCTCTGGACCCGCTCCCGCAGGTCCATGTCTTTCTTGTGCTGGGGAAGTACTACATACTTTGAAGTTACTTGTTTAAACCAACTGACAGCAATTTCAACATTAGTCATATATTTAGACTAAGATATTTAAAATAATAATTTAGATATACATTGATTTTAAGTAAATTGTAATTAACAATCTTTTATCAGTTCAAAATCTTTTAAAACAAGTATTAAAACAGGTAACACTATGATCTATTCTATTAACCACGAAGTTTAATATAATTCTATTGCAAGAAATCTGATATTTTATTACAGTGTTTCACTACACAAGATGGGATATTTCGATAATAGAAATTAGATTTTATATAGACTATCTATAATTATTATTTATTTTTCAAATATACGAATGATAATCTGTATTGCTGCAGCCACATGGTTTGCTGTGGCAGAAATTTGCTGCAACACAGTGCAGCATTTTGCAGTCATGCGGAGATCTCTTCTGTAACCTACTGCATTGCTAATGTTTGTTAAACCTGAAGCAGCACTAAAATGAAATGGACTTTCTTCAGTAACCATGCAAATATTGATTATATTCACAGCTTTTCTTTTTTCCAAAGGAGAACTTAAATTCTTATTTAAGAGCTGAATATCACTAGCTGTATTGTTTTAATATTGGTAATTACTAATTGAATTGCTAGAAATTATGTCTTAGGATGTTCTGTAGTGTAATTCAGAGAGTATTAATACTGCATGCATACTGGTAAGAGCCATTTTGTTTTTAATAAAATATTTGTCTTAAAAGATGTGATCTTTTCAGCAATGACTTGCATTTTTTCCTGCATTTTATCCTTAGTTGCTTTATGTAGGTAGAGCTAGGTAAATTTTTGGAGGCTATATTTCTAGAGTTCACTGTGGCTCTTCAGTTCTGCCTTACCTACTGTTACAACAAGCCTTTGACACAACATCCCTTAGGTTGAATATGGTCGCGGTTAATCTCACATGTCGTGCTATGTTCTCTGTGCAGAACATTGCTGTTAAAATAGAAGAGAACTGAGCTGACAGTGCAGCTGCAGGACTCATCATAACTCCTGTCTGTTTTACACCAGGTAGAGATTTTCTGTGCATCTGCAACCCAAGTTTCCTCAAGCTCAGCAAGAGTCCTCACCACTCAAGTTACAGTCATGCTCCTTTCTTCTGAACTGATAAACACTGTATTTTTGCCTGCATATTGGCCCGTATTCAGGTAGTTTAGTGGCTCCCAATCTAACCTATAACCAGCAATTAGAGGAGTCAGAATATGTGGAGGTTTGCTTTAGGTTTCCTGTGGATGAGAAGGGTCTGTAATTTAAATCTCTCTCCAGTCACCTTCTTGCAAACTGGGCTTTTGGCTCTGGTGTACTTGTCTCATGGGACCATATTTCTGTTCTTTTATGAATTCCTATG